ACGTGATAGGTTACCGCTAAAATGAAACCCAGGAGCTAGCAAAATGAGTAAAAAAAAAACAAACGTCTTTGGAAAGTTTCTTTGGGAAGGGGAAAAGGCTCAGCCAGGAGACAGAAGCCTACGATTTTCAAGAAAAAGAAGACTAAATGTAATAGATAGTATCAGGCATCCTACTCAAAATATGGATTTGTCTCAACGGGAGACTCCCTCTCTGCATGATATGCGGCGATGGTGAATCGTATTTTTCATGCACTTTGTATCTTATTTTGGTAGGCACGTCTAAACATTACCATAGCGACCAGAGAGTGTTGAGGCCAGATAGGATGTTCCTTGTGTCATCATTCGTGTCATATCATATTATTTTGTCGTATTTATCCGTCACACCTTAAAGGCCGGTCCCTGAAAATATTGTCTGACATTAAACCGGTCGATGGGGCAAAAAAGGTTGGGGACCGCCGATGTACGGTGTCATTGTAAAGAGAGGACACCTTGTTTGGCCCATGAAAAGGTTTCAGGTTTTATCCTCGGATTTCTCGCCAACAGTCTCCGAGCCACTCCGCTCCCGTTCAGCCCGCAGTGGCCACTCCACGCCACGTACCCCTGGCTCTAGCGCCATGACCCCTGGCACCCCTCCTAGCTGCTCATCCTCCTCAAGGACCCCCGGAACCCCTCGCTCGCTCAGCTTGATGTCCCAGGAGAGGAGGGTGGCTGTGGCCCGTACCCCGCCCAAATCCCCCGCCACCACACCTAAGCAGCTGCGAGTCATTAACCAACCTCTTCCTGACTTCAAGAGGGTCCGGTCCAAGGTCGGCTCCATAGATAATATCAAGTACCAGCCCAAAGGTGGACAGGTAAGACCCAACTCACATGTTTGGTGCACTCTCCCGCCCACCCTCTACCTACCTACTACTTGTTTCTTTCGGACTGTAGAAGGTATTTTTGTCATAATGTAAGTTTGAGACTTTTTGATTCACTCATATTTGATAGGTTTTCCTTTCATCTTCCTCTTCTTCAACCTTAGTGTTAGTTTTTGTTTGTATTTTACCCATCCACCATGAAACGAAATTAATGATCCGACAACATGAAGCGCGTATCAAATATCTTTGATCACCCAGCCGATGTTAGATCCACGCCACCGCTGCCCTTAAAAAAAAAACAAAAAAAACATCGGAAATTAACAAAAGCTTATATGTACAGTCTTCAATGATATTTTTCCATGCGAAAAATTTCGGGTTTTTTTTTCTTACTGTTTTATCAAAAATATATAAGATAACAAACCACTGTTACTTACTTGCACTTGTAATTAGAAAATGTTGTAGTGGTTAAATATGTAGGATTAATTTCTTACTCTACTGGCTCGAATTTGGGTGTAAAAAAAAAAAAAAAAAAAAAAAAAAAAAAGAACATACAATAAAAATAACCACAAAAC